GGTTTCACTATGCAGTTCAGGCTGGTGTCAAACTCACAGATACCCTCCTGCTTCGGCATCCTGAGTGCTGGTATTATAAGCATGAGCCATCATGCCCAGTGAGGACTGGTTTGGTTTTTTTTTACTTAAAAAAAGAAAACAAACTGGGTGTTGTGGCACAGCCTATATGATCCCAGCACTCAATAGTATGAGGCAGGAGGATCGCCACAACTTCAAGACGAGCCTGGGCTACATAGGGAGTTCAAATCCAGCCTGAATTACAGAGAGAGACCCTGTCTCAAAAAATAAATGAAAGAAAGAAAAAGAAGAAAAGGAAAGAAAAAAAGGAAAAGAAAAGAAAAGAAAATGAAAGCAAAGCTGGGCATGGTGCTGTATGCCTATGAATCTAACACTCTGGCAGGCTGAAACAGAGGATTGCAAATTTCAGCCCAACCTGCACAATTTAGCAACTTGACAAGACCCTGTCTCCAAGTTTTAAAAATTAAACTAAATTAAAAGGGCTCAGGACTTAACTGAATGTGAAAGCCCTGGGCTCATCCCTTGCAGTACACACACACACACACACACACACACACACACACACAAATACACACAAGGAAAATCATTAAGCACAAAGCTTGTGGTTACTAATCCAGGAGTATTGTCAACAGGGGGAAATGTGGAAGAGGAGGAAAATCTTCAGAGAAGAGAAAGGAGTGGTGCTACGTCATCATAAGTGATAAGGAGTCTCTGAGAGGGCTCCTGCCTCGTGGCCTTTGCTTGTTCCGGTGATACATGCATGGTTACAAGGAGCTAGCAACTGTAAGGAGAAAGCCCCAGACAGAGAGCTTGGAATCACAGTCCTACGTGGGCTGGGGCAGCAAGGAGGGCCCAGCCTTGGGGAACCTGGATGTGCCAGGGCCTTAATCCAATAGGCTGAGACTTCGCCACACCACTCAGCAACCTGGTAGCAACAGTTTGAGGGTGTGGTAAGACCTAGAGGGCCAGGTGTGGTAGCACATGCCTGTAATTGCACCTACTTCAGGTGCTGAGGGACACCTATGGCACACGTGCTATCTGTTTTTCTTTTAAGACAAAAGATGTCACTGTATGAGCTGCTTTTTCTAACCCTAAAACCTCAGTATTCAGGGTTAATCTCAGTGTTGGTACCTTGTGATAAATGAGTGGGTTTGGGGCTGCAGTTCGAGCACTCATCTCTAAAAGTTCACCATCGCTGCTGTGAGCCCTTCCCCTCAGTTATGAACAGAAACCATACACTGTCAGGCATGGTGCCCCATGCTTGTAATCCCAGCATCTAGGAGGCTGGGGAATCACAAGTTTGGGCCCAACCTCAGCAATTTAATAACTTAACAAGACCCTATCTCAAAATAAAAAATAAAAAAAGGACTGGAGATGTAGTTCAGTGAAAAAGTCCTGGGTTCAATGCCCAGTACCGTTTAAAAAAATAAATAAAAGAACAGGTAGAGTATGTGACCAGTCTCCTCCCTACCCCCAGCTCATCCTCAGAAATGGCACCTAAAAACCTGCAATGATTTAGGCAATTTTCTGTAAATCCAAAGGGTACAAATTGTCTAGTCTCCCCTCCATGTTTCCAAATGTATTTAAATCTTTTAATTTTACTTTTTTAACCTTATATTCATTTTGCAAACTTCACAAACTCCAAACCCTACCTCTGAAGGCACTGCCCTTTCAAAGGTTAAAATTTTTGTACTCATTATTGCATTCAATTTCCCTACTTTCTCTGTAAGAAAGCAATAAACGGGGCCTTCCAAACTACTCACTGTATTTTCCTGGGGTAGAAATTCCTTGTCTCCAGTAGTGTTTAGTTTACTCCTTAAGACCAAGATCCCTGCTATGCTTTTGAAAGCATCCCACAAAGTCTCATATGTTAAAAACCTGGTCCTCAGCCCACGGTGCTCCTGGAAGGTGGCAGAACCTTTAGGACAAGGGCCAGTGGGAGGAAGTTAAGCTGCAGGAGCAAGTCCCCCGAGGGGGTATTAGGACACAGGCATCTACTCCTCTCTTTGCTTCCTGGCTTCTGCACCATACATCCCCACACTTGTGCACTGTGGCACCAGCCACAGGCCCAAAGAACCAAGGCCAAGCAGCCACAGGCCAAAACTCTAAAACATGAGCAAAATGAATCCTTCTAAGCTGATTTGTCTCTATTATTTGTCACAGCAATAAAAATCTACACAGCCCCTTGGGGCAGTGAGAGATGAGATTAATCCCCTCTTCTACCCACAGCATTGGGGAGACAGTGGAAAACAGAAGGGAGACACTCTGGTCCTCAGATTCTGTTCTTTCTCACCTAAGAGGCTCTGTTTTCAGCTGAACACAAGAGCGTTCTAAATGTCATCACTCCACACCCCATCTGGGCTCCCAAAAGTAAGCTGCCGGGCTTCTGAATCAGATGTCGTCACCCACTGAAAAGCCTCCTGCACAACTTGGCTGGCAACGGGGTCCCAGCTCAGTAGGACAAGTTCACCCATCCCCCTTGGCAAAGTTGCCCCCAGGTATGGGCTGTCATTCCTTCTGAGAGAGGAAGCGCGTGGAGAGGGCAGCAGCAGCAATAAGAGCCAGTTCAGCACTGAGTGGTGAGCATTGTCTCACATGAAGGTGACAGGAAGCATTGCCGTTCTCAAGGGACTCCTAGAAGAGACATGAGGAAGTGTGTAGAGCAATATACAGCATCTGCAGACCAGGACAGACATCATCACAACTACAACCCAGATCTTCACGTGGCAACTCAAGACAAGTGGGAAGAGAGCTTTCCCAGCGCCAGTGCTGAGCAAAGATGCTGAGGGTGGTAGGGAAGGGATCTAGAGATGAGAAAATAGAATGGGGGCCTCCTTAGGTCTTCTAGCTAATCCTGACTAGGACTTTAAAACAAACTTTACTAGAGAGATTCCCCTAGGAACAAGTCAAAGACAGGGATAGAAAAAGGGAGAAAAGCCAGATAAAGAAAGGCACCAAATGGCCTTGGGATTTGCACCAAGAGACCAGAAAAAAAGAGCTGACAGGCAGGACACAGAGCAAAGGTTAAGTCCACAAATAATAAGCTGCCCCCACCTCCAATAAAATATAGGGGAAGCAAAGGGGGCTGACTAACGAAGACAGTATATACTCACTGTTATGCACTAACATATCCACATATATACAGGTATATTCACTCTAGATTCACTATATTATTACTATAGGCTCATTATAGAGTACAACAGATATCCACATACTCCCTTACTAACTCTAAGCTAACCAAGAATAAGGTGCCCCCTTGCTAGCTAGCCATCCACCCCAAAGACACAGTCTTGAAAAGCACATCAAGGATAAGTAAACAAAGGGACAAAAAGAAGCTGCACGTAGACCAATGGAAGAATTGACATTAGAGGTGTCCAGAAGCCAATCCAGTTATGGCAAGTTCCAGATGGAAGGGAAAGGGTCACTCATCCATTATAAAAACAGCGGGGAACAAAGGGCCCATGGGTCCTCCATCTTTCTGGAGCTCTCTACTATGACTGTATCTTTCTGTTTTTGTACCAGGAATCAAACTCAGGACCTTGTGCTTGCCAGGCAGGCGCTGTGCCGCTGAGCTACATCCGTGCCCCAGATTCCTTCTTATCAGGGCAGCTATCTATTGTTTCCTTTCCTTTCCTGTCCTTTCCATTTCCTCTTTACAACTGAAGTGTCTTCTTTTCGTTAAATTTTGTCTCTCTCACTTTTTATTAGGGCTACATTTATGAGCCCAGTGTACTGCTTGGACAGCAGAGCAGTGGTGCTCACCCCCCAGATGCATCTTCTTTGGTTCCCTAACCAAGAACCAGACATGACATGGTCTTACAAAGATCTGCCTTGAGGACAAACTTCCAGGCCCGTGGAGGGTGTGGCTGCACTCCTGTCAGCCACTCAGAGCCTGCTTCCAGGAATGAGTCACCACAGGCAAAGGAGGCAGACACCTGAATAGAGCGATAGGGCAGGACTTTGTGATATAAATAAGCCTCCAAGCACTTGGGGAAGAGAAGGTCTTCAAAGTTGCCACACTAACATGTGAATTAAGTGGTATTTGTGAAAAAGTATATGCAATCAAAGGATTTCAAAACACAGATTTTCTTTCCATCTACTGTTCCCAGGGAGGCAAGGGAAGCCAAGTGGAACTCATCACTGGAGGCCAAATGTTTGTCTTCACAACCTGAAATGGTTCTTGAACCCATGGCTGGCTAGATGATAACATCTGCCAATGTTTTTAACAGTGGTGTTAGGCCATGAAAAGCTTTCATGCTGCAAGCAAAAAAAGAAGACCCTTCATAAATCTACTTTCAACATTTAAAAACATAGGACAATATTTGTACATGATAGAGCTGTTCGTATACCTACATGTCTGTGTGTCTGCTTTATAAAAAGAAATAAACCTTTTGTCTTCCACTTAAATGAGTGATCACAGATAGAGGTTTATTGAACACTGACAGTGTTCCTGGTGCTTTGCTATCTTTCCTCCCTGTCGGACTCTTACAACCCTGGGAGGTTGAGACTGTTGCTGCTACCAACTCCTAAATGAGGAAATGAGGCTACAAGAAATTAAATTTCTTGCCTGTGATCATAGATAGCAAATGGTAAAGCCTAATTTCTACTTCCTCCTCCTACGTTGGATTCCTCCTTCAAGTTCCAACCAACACTTTTGCTATCCTTCCTGGTCATCTCTGTAAGAGAAGCATACAGTTCTTTCTGCTAGAGTAGATGTTTGGTTCATGCTAAGACACTTACAGAAGAACAGAGAGGAGCTCTTGATAAGTACAGAAACAACAGAGGTCTGACTTGTTTTTAGGCATTTCCAGAAGATACAGGACAAGAGTATAATCTCATCAATTCATGTCTCATGCGTATGGGATGGATGTCATTCTGAAACACATTAAAGGAGATTTTTAAATACTTAAAGTGCATTCCAAGCACAAACTAGAAGTCACCTGTGTCCCACCATTTTTGCCCACAATTTCCCTCTGCAGTCCTCAGACAACAGTCTCGACAGAAATGGTATTGCCACTGTCTTCCTGGCGCCTGGGCTGCATCTCATCTTTGAAAGCCCTGGTCAGGACTACTTTTAAGGACTCCTTGAACCGCTTTTTCTTACTGCTGCCCACAAAGAAGTAAATGAAAGGATTGGCACTGCTGTTAATCGTGGAAAAGAGCAGAGAGATGTTATGTAGGGTCCCGAATGTGGACCAGTACTCGTAGTACAGCAGGTAGAGAAGCCTCATGGGCATGGCAAAGATGAGGAAGATAATGATGGTGACCATGATGACGATGTACAGCTTTGAGGAATGGGTGGTCCGTGTGTTCTTTCGGATCTTCACCGCCAAGATAGTGCTGGACACCAGCATGAGTGGGGTAAAAACCAGGAAGCTGAGGACAGCTATAAAGAGGATGACTGCCCGGCAGTCACTTCGAGAGCGGCTGTTTTCTTCACTGTCAATGCACATGATGTACTCCATTGTGGTCACCAGGCAGGAAAGAGCCCACAGGAGGGCACAGACAAACGCTGACTGATGCTTGGGGCGGTGGCATCGGTACCAGATGGGGTAGAGGACAGATAGGCACCTCTCCACACTAATGGCGGTCAGCAGGTAGAGACCTGTGTTGTAGCCAAACATAAAAGTCACTGATAGTGTGACGATTGTGTAGTAATGGCCAGAAGAGAGTTCATAGTCTAAAGCATAGTCAATAGACAGAATAAAAATACAAAAGAGTAACGAGATATCAGCAATAGACAAGTGGGTGATGTAGACAGTGAAGGGGTTTCTTCTCATCCGGAAGCAGAGGAACCAGAGGAGAATCCCGTTTTCCACAAAGCCCAGTGGGGAGATGCTCATAATGACCCAGTGCACAACTGGAATATGTGGTGCTGCATTCCCGACTGAGGAATTCCTGCCGGTTGAGGCATTCGGAGACTCCTGATCAACAAACGCGGTCACATTGGACTCATCCATTTGGAGACCTCGGGCTGGCACTTTTCAGGTGGCTTTCTGTAAATAGTCAAACCAACAAGCAAAACCATGAAAACTGGTGAATTCAAATAAAGGGGAAATTTTCAGCTGTGGATCATAACCTTCAGGATTTTTTTACAGGCTTAATAGATCATATAATTCTTCACCTATTAGAAATAAAATTAGACATTTCACCCAGAATTGAACAATTTCATGACACTTTTTTAGATCCCCAATATCCTTTCATTCTGTATATTATTTGCTTGTAGCTCAGCTCCAAAAATAATAGAGCAAAGTAGGAAGATCAGGATCCCTGGTTCATTTCCAGTTCTGCCCATGATTTCCCAGTCTCATTTTAAAAATTCCTTTAATCTTCTGGGCCCTAATTTCCTTGCCTGATGGACCAGGTAGAAAGATAGCTGCATTAAAATTCAATGACAAAAGGAAAAAATATGTATATATGTATACACAGGATGCTTAGTTGTACTACTGATTTCTATTACTTTATTGAAAGGAACAGTTAATGTTTAATTATTTGATCAATCTTACATGCTTATATTTGTTTATCTGAGTAACCAATTTGAAGTTATCAATATGTAATACAACCACCACTGTTAACTTCCTATTACCTTGTCTGTAATTCTGTATTGCTTGTATTGTTTTTGTGTTATTTTGTAAATGTCTGTGTGTCTGTTAATATGTTTTTGTTCTTTTATCTTTAAAATTAAAAATATATATAAAAACAAAAAAATTCAATGACAAAATACATTTTTGGGCAAAGTTGTTGTCATTTCTGAAAAGTGTTACAAGCTGTGGGTTAATGAGAAGCATGCCTAGAAAAGTATTTTGTCTGGATTGGCCCTCAACTCTTGGATTCAAGCAGCCCTCCTGTTTTAGCCTCCCAAGTAACTACAACTATAATTATATGCCAGCTCCCTCAACTCGTATTATTTTTAAAGTGTGACAATGAGAAGGCAATTCTTTTATGTGGTCTATATATCTGCAATAATGCAGGCCACCTACTCAGACCTGGTGGACTATGCAAACCAACACTCTTGTGTCGCAGTGTGAGCCTTGACAGGATGTACTTGTGCCTCACATCCTGCAAGCTGGAGTATGCAGGAAAATGACTGATAGGCACTGCACAGCACAAAGCCCAAACTAGTCAAAATGCTGCAGATGTGAGGTTGCAAAGCAAAGATAGTCAGAAGCATTCTCTCACTTTTCCGGTTGCAACTGATACACACACAGTCTCCAGTTGCCTACTATAAGGAAACAAATATACATCACAATCCACATTGCCTTATTGGAGAAAAGGAAAGGAGACAGTTGGCAGAGACCGTTTCTTTTGTTCCAACTCTAACTTTTCTTTTTTACATGTCTGCAGTACATGGGGATCACATTTATTGTGGGGAATTGGTATATATTAGCGTTTTATTTCCTCTTTTCTTTTTTTAATCTTTTAATCTTTACAGACCAGATCTCCTATGTGTACAAACTAGTTACCTGGTAAGAAGTTCATCAACAATACTTTAGATACTTATATTTATAAAGCATAGATCTATTACATTTACATATACAAATATATTATATTTGCTTACACACATTATTTACTTGTATTATATTTATAAAAATATTTCTAGATATCTACCTTCTCCTCATAAGCTCATCTAAAGCAGAATAGCACATCGATTGCTATTTTGCAGCAACTGAATGACTAATGACATTAGGCATCTCCAGCATCAGGTCAGCAGAACCCCAGCAGCACAAGGTTTGAATCTCAGCCCAGCCATGCCTGGATCCTGGACTAGAAATGGATGTTCTGCTTGTTGAAAAGGGTGATTATCTTCCCACTGCATGATGCAGTGAAAGGAGACAGCTGCCTCCACTGTCCCAATCCAGTGCCGCTCCACTAGCGCTTCCTCCACTGCTTGACAACACACAGGAAACTGCTTTCCCTGGGACAGGGTCTCCTTTCATTCATTAGAGAACACAAACCCCAGTACCTCTAGGAACCCAGTGCAAAGATCACGATTCACAGTGCCACATCAGAGTCTGCTACAGAGACGAGGTGTTGGTAGAAGTTTGTTGATAAAGCAGCCATGCCTTCCAAAATCACCCATCCAACATTTATTCAGCACTAGGTGCTACTCTGTGCACCAGAACAGCTTTTTGGAGTTTAAATTCCAGTAGGAAAGCAACTAATACCCAAAGAACAATAATAAAAATCAATAAATCCATGCAGATCACAATAAGTGCTATAAAGGGAAATAAAACAGAGTTAGAAAGACAGAGGGTGGCAGGACGTGGGGTATCTATGACGGGGATGATCTCGCTGATAAGATCACACTTGGGCAAAGGCATGAAGTAAGGAGGCAACAGCACTCCAGGCCAAGGGAACAGGAAGTCCCAACAGCAAGGAGCAAAATCAAGCAGCAGTGCAGACAGGTAGCTGGGACTACACCCAACAGGGCTTGTGGCCGTCCTAAGGATTTTGCCCTTAGTGAGAAGGGAAGCCACCAGAAAGTTCTGAGAGGAAGCCTCACCATAGCCTTATATTCAGATTAAATGCAAGAGGCCACTGTGGGAAGAGTGAAGCCAGGTGGGGGCTTCTACGTTAGTCCAGCCAGAGAGGTGACAGTGATATGCACTCAGGTGTGGCAGGTGGCAGTAAGACCAGGATGGCACCTAGATGCAATTGGCTCTGCTGAGGGATGAGGTATGTATTAAGGTAGCAAGAGAGAGAGAGAAATGTTTAGACATTTGCTGAATGGAGCAGGTACAGAAAAACAGTTAGGGTGAGGCATTTGGAGTTTGAGAGCTGTGAGATGGCCAGGGGGTACATCTTGCGGAGTGTCGGAGATGGGAGAACAGATATAGGCTGTTGTATGCAAACAGGTGAATCTTGCAATTACAAGACCAGATAGGCTATCAAGAAATATGGGCAATTAAAAAGAGGAAGAAGCCTTGGAGCATTCCAAAGCCTAGAGGTTGGAGAGATGAGAAACCACAGAAACAGAAAAGTATGTGACTGAGCTAGGAAGAAGATGGGAAGAAGGAGAAGTCAATTGAAAGTTCCAGTTCCATTTTCTATGGAAAGTTCAAGTGAGATAAGAAGTAGGTCTTTCATGTGGGTACTGGGTCATTGTTGACCTCAGACACAGCCTCCCTGGTTGTGCACTGAAGGAGATCTGATAAACTCATAGGAATCACCAATAGCAAAGAAATAATCAGACATTCAGGAAATCAGGGGTGGTAAGCCCTTGGCTAGGAGCACCATTAATTTCTAGGAGTAGCTGGGATTGCAGTGGCAGAAATGGTTCTTCTGAATACACAGTATCTCTTTTTTCAGCAAAATAAGGAGCCACACAACCAGTTGAGAGTGAGGCCATGTTGAGGGGTTTAAAGAGAGAGGACAGCACAACGGAGGAACAGAAAGTAGTAGAAAATATGCAGGGAGTGGGATCACCAGGAAACCTAGGCACCCACCCTGGCCAGTGCTCAGAAGGCAACACAGCCTGTGCATGCTTTGGTCCAGCTGTGACTCAGCTGTCCACGTGCCAGGTGGAGAAGAAGGAGGACAGTCAGAATTAGCCAGGGCTGAGGTTTTCACAGACTCCTGCCATATGGTGGGCCCCAGGAATGGAAGCATATGAAAGGCAATGGCTATGGTGGCACTCCGTGGACTCCTAAGGGCTAAAGAGAAAAGTGAACACAAGAGGGAGGTGACAGACAGTGAGCAGGAGGTGGGAGCCATAGACAGCAGCCTGGTGCTGTCAGGGACTTGTTGAAGTCCGTGTGCTGCAGGTAGTAAAGGGGAAATAGGAGACAAAGCTCTTGAACCTGAGAGTTGGTGGTGGAGTTCTGGGGTTATTGTACGGTCAGTTGTAGAGATGACTGCGCATGTGACTGGCTTGGGGTAGTTGGGGGGCAAGGTCACTGCAGGGGAGATCAGGATCTGGAACGAAGGCACTGGGAGTTATCAGTGAGACCTTGAAGTCACTGAGAAATAGTGTTGCAGAACAGGGATGTTACTAGACCACGTGGCTGTAAGCCAAGTGCTGCCATCGTGCAGGATTTCGGGGCCACACCAAGGGGCCTGCGGGCACTGACACTGAGTGGACACTGACAGGAGTGGGTACTGTGTGCACAGCTTTGGGTGCTCTGATGTAGCCGGAGTCCGTGAGACAGAGACAAGGGGCTGCAGAGGGAGGGCCTGGTCAGCGCCATCCACAAGACATGGAAACACGTGCTTAATCAAAGTTTTTCTGGTAGCTATGCTAAGAAAGTAAAACATGAAATTAATTTTCATAATCTATTTTACTTCACTAAATGAGTCCGAAAGTATCATTTCAGCATATAATCAATGTGAAAAACATTGACAACATACTCTGTCCTTTTTCACAGATTGGCTCCCTGTCCAGTGTGTTTTTATTTATTTATTTAGTTAGTTAGTTATTTACTTATTTTTAAACCTTTACTTTTTGGCGGTGCTGGGGATCAGTCTTAGGACCCTGCACATGTCTCAGGACCCTGCTGAGTCACACTCCCGGCCCACAGCAACTCACACCAGATGAGCCGCTTTTCTGTAACTTGTGGCTACTGTAATAAAAACACGGGTTGGATCCATCACAAAACTGAAATCACAGATACAATGCAGGCAGGTTCTTACATTTTTTAATAGCAAATATAAAGCAAAGACTAGAGACGTAAGACCAAGACGTCATCAGAATTCTTAGGAAAACTGAGAAGCATGTCTCATAATCTCAGACAGACTCACACCCTCACATCCCTCTAGACAACAAGAGTGTCCAGCTGCAGCCTTCTCCTGCATGCAAAAAGGTGCTCCCTTCCTTTCCACTTCCCTTCCTGCACCTGTGCCTGCATTCCGTCCCACAGCCTACTGTCCGCTCTCTGCCAGCTCAGGCTCTGAAGCTGCCTGTCCCACACTGCCCTTTTACGGCAGTACCTCCATTCACAAACTTATTCTTTCCCAATTATGG